CATTCAAGGTCATCGCGTGTTTTGTGAGCAAATGCTTTTGCATATTCGTAGTGTTTCCTCCCTTAAATAAAATATCTACTTTGCAAGTATTGCAAGTTGCCCTGTTGTCATCTGTTCTCGTAAAGTGTAATCAAACTTTTGAGCGTTAGGCACCGTGTTTCCTGCCAGGTAAGTGACGCTCCGCAACGTGGTGACGTCATTCGGGGCGACTGGAATCGATAAGGGAATCGTTTGCAAAAATGGCAAACAATTCCAAGGAATTGAAATAGTGGGAACCAGTTCTCAATAAGAACCGGTTTTCGATACCCATCCCTAATTATCAAAATATCCTGGTTAGCCTAATCTTATTTGATCATCCATCATGCAAGTTCTCCACTTTCAGAACCTCAAAGAGATGTGGTGTTTAGCTGCAGCACCTTTCACCTTCTTCCTCCTTTGCATGCTAGCAAAGTCACAATGCAATCTTCCAGTTGTATATACAAGTATTACTGTGCAACTCAACCACAGCTAAATGCACTCATCACCTTTGAATGTTTTAATCTCAGATTCATGCCTGTCTCCAAGGAGATCAGTTTTGTATATTTCTAAAATGATGACTGTGTTTTAGTACGCTGATTATTCAGCTGCGCTTCCCTCTCTCTACAGCAGCCAGCTTCCATAATGGGATCTTTTCGGCGTCCCAGACCTCGATTTATGAGCTCTCCAGTTCTGTCAGACCTTACCCGTTTTCATGCAAGCACACCTGCTCTACAGATCTCCAACATCACTGTGTGGAACAGGTGAGCTGACTTCAAACAAGAAATCCCACAGTACTTTAGCTTGATCTTTGTGATCCATATTTAATTTACATTTAAAACCAAAGTAAGCCGAAAGTGACTGTAAGCTAAAATTTGAAGTGTTTTTGTTCTGTTGTAATTTAGTATTTTTATAAAGTCACTTTTCCATCAGCAAATTTCATCTTCCCCTTTTATTCAAAGTCGGTAATTTATGTCAAAGGGCCTGCACTGACCTGTTACACTTCAAAATTTTAAATAGGCAGCAGTTAGAAGTTTCCACATATACTAACAAGTCAGGCTGGAATACAGAATATAACAAGAATTTGCCTGAATGGAGCACTACATTGGCTCAGTTCATTGGTATAAATATCAGACGTTATCAGTTCTAGACTGCACGACTCCATAATCCCAAAACACAATGTACAGATATTATCTTACCTTTGTTCTACCTTTAGCACTGGGGTATGTTTTGTCATGTGTATAAACATTGGTTTTAAAAAAACAGAAAAATATAATAAGAGAAGAAGAGGTTATATTGAAAGTTTCAGAGGTTAGAAATTTTCTATTTGGTTTCATATCTGATTAGCTTCTGATTTTAGTGATTTAATCTATATTGGTAATGGCCTAATGAGGGCTGCGTGGTTATGTCTAGAGTTATTATCATGATAACAAGTCTTTTTTTATTTCCAGACTGACCATTTTCCTGAAACCTTTGTTAGTCGTGTTTGTGGTTGAATGAAAACAATTCTGCAAAGAAAAGTGGGCCACAGTTCTTCCACAGCGACATGAAAGAGTCATTGCCGGTTGTTGCAAATGCTTGATTCCTGTTTTTGCAGCCAGAGCAGGAACAACTGACTTACTTACTTACTTTTGATTAACAGATAGCTGATTAAATAATCTGTTGAGCCCCTTTGTCCCTGGGGGTTCATGGGCTGTGCCGCCAGGTCTGTGATTTAACTATAGACTTAACATAGCAGCAACTGGTATCCAGAGAAATGGCAGAATCTCACAAAACCATTTTTATGACCACCAAACACATGTAAAACAACAAACAATCAACACAGGTAGACAGATTCTGCGAAAAGATGTCAACACAAAGTGCGGATTCCCACATTCACCCAGTAATATTTACACGGATCTACACGGACAAACAATGTCTCTGCTGAAAGCACAGTCTTCACGGATATTTCAAAACCACAAGTTTTATCACGCTCCAACCAAAATTCACTGAAAAAGAAGCAAAAGAAGACCAAAATTATGCTTCACGTTAGAATTTATGCTAATATTTTTTTAATCTTACCTTTTCTGTCTGGCTTCCAAAAAAAAAAAAAAAACTCAGATAAAAACACATTTCTTGCATCGCTCCCTCTCCCAGCTTCAAGAGTAGTTTTAGGCCATAAATCACTCTTCTACCTTATTCGTTTGTTTATCCACAGATGCATTATGCACCCGGTCTACCATTGTGTACAGTGGGGTGTCTGCTTTTTTTGTTTTACAAAAATGACCTAAGTTATGCTGTTCAACAAAATTTTCAACTTTCACAGATGGTGCCAAATTGTTCCTATGCTTAGCTTAGCCTCTAATTAAACCCGTGTAGCTTTGCTCTGTGTCACTTCAGCAGCATTGTTCTTTCCATGGGTAATGTTTATATGTTGATTCATTCAGTTTTTGGTCTACTCCAGCATATTTTCAAAGGGTTTATATGCTATAAAGGCTAAAAACAAAACAAAAAAACATTAGTCCAGGAAAAGAATTTTTCAGTGTTCCATCCTCAGTTATTTTGACACAATTGGATCTGCTGTGATGCTTACATGATTATTTCTCACATGTGTTAGCTTTGATACCAAGATAGGTTTTTTGATTTTTTTTTTTTTTTTTGTGAAAATGGAGTTTATAATTTTAGAGAAATATTAAATTCATTTTGGGCATGATGTTTTCAAGCAGGAACCCCAGAAAGCCCATAGGGTATTAAAGGTTAAAAGAAAACAGAAAAACCCTAAAGTATCTTGATGCGTGCTCTATTATCTAGGTAAGAAAATCCCCAAAGGTTTATTCTGCTCATCTGCAAATGTACTCTATATAAGGTTGGGGAAACCTGCAATCAGCTGAGACTGAAGAAGTCACTTGGATGAATGATGAAATGTTTCTCCCACTGAAAACGCTACGTCCAGAAGAACAAAATCAACTTTTTGGAAAGTATATGAGGAATGTGGAGGGCCTAGACATGGTCCCAACATAGCTTAAATTGCTCCTTTGCATTGACTCTTCATCCCTGTGGAACTGTACTAGAGGGTTGGAAATGTTGAGGGTGGTGGAGAATGCTTGGCTGGTTTGTCCCAACTAGGAACATGAAGGAGCTGCACGCTGTACTAGTTGAAATCAGGTCAGAGGTAGGACTGCCAGTCTAGGATGGACTTGTAAATTTCTTGTAGGCATTCAGTTGTATTTAGGTTTGGTGACTGCTAAATGCCATAGCATGTGACTCACATCATTGCCATCTGTTTCTTGCTATGATGGCAACTGCACTCACTGGCAGCAGTTGTTTTCTAGCAGGATAATGTGTGACATCACAAGACTGAAACTGCTCATAATTGCCTCAAAGAACTAGTAAAGAGCTCAAGATGGTCACCTTGGATTTACCTCTGAACTCTCATTGACATCTGATTTCAGATCAGTTAAATTTTACTAGCGCCAAATCACGACAACAGTTGCCTCAAGGCATTTTATATTGTAAGGTTGAATAATACAATAATACAGAGAAATACTGAGAAAATGACCCCTTATGAGCAAGAACTTCTGCAACAGTGGAAAGAAAAAACTCCCTTTTAACAGGATGAAACCTACAGCAGAACCAGGGAGGGGCGGCCAGTTGACTGGGGAGAAGGAAGACAGGACAAAGGCGCACACTGTGGAAGCGAGAGAGAGATTAGTAATAACTAATAATTAAATGCAGATAGGTGTATAAACACACAATAAAGGGGGAGGGGGTTGTTGAGTGAAGAAGAAACACTCACTGCATCATGGGAAGTCCCCAACAGCCTAGACCTATTTCAGCAACTAAGGCAGGGCTCTATCTAATATGCTTAACTATATGCTTTGTCAAAAGCTTTAAGCCTAATCTTAAAAATAGAGAGCATGTCTGTCTCCTGTGTCCCAAGTGGTGGCTGGTTCCACAGAAGAAGAGTCTGGAAGCTGAAGGTTCTGCCCTATTCTGCTTTTAAATATCCTAACCTTATCACACGATTTACTGAAGAAGATTTGAAGGAGTCAGGAATTACCAAGAAGTGCATGAGGGTGCTGCAGGATATGCACTAGAACAGCAAGACAGTGGTGTGGTGTGTCGCTGGTGTAACAAATGGGACTGCATCAGGAATGGGGTTAACAAACAGATGTGGACCAGCAGGAGTTTTCATTGACTAGGAAGGGAGCCTGGATATGTGGAGGTATACTCTGATCAAGAGTAAAGAAGAGTGAGAGGGAAGAAAGGTTAATTTGCAAGAAACAGATGTAGAGAAGGAGGAAGAGGTAAACAATCCAAAGCAATGACTGGTGTACAAGAGAAATGAAGACAGTACAGGCAGGGTGGAATGGGTGGAGAAAAGTATCAGGGGCGATTTGTGACAACAGGATGCCAACAAGGGTGAGTCAAATTCCTCGTTTGTGTGTACAAACTTATCCAAATAAAGGTTATTCTGATTCTGCTGATTTGGTGGCAGTGCCAAAAGCGACCAGGATGGATAGGAATCAAAATGACTCTTTCAGAGGGATGGCTCAGGTTGTGCAGTTTGGAGAAAGAACTGGAGATAAGATTGTTTCGAAATTATGCAGAAGAGCGACAGTGGAAAGGTACATCATCTTTCAGTTCTGAGGTTTTATGTATCAGAACAAAAAAAATCATTGTGTCCTTGACAATTCACACAGATTATTGAAATAACCTGAGATGAACACTTGACATATCTCATCATGCATTTTTTTTTTTTTAAACAGAAACTAAGCCAAGGTGTAGACGCAGTGTGTGAAAGATGAAGTACACCACATGATGCAGTGGCCTGTAGAACCACTTTTAACAGCAATAACTTGAAGTAATTCTTTTTGAATGGTTTTATCAGTCTCTCACTTGGCATTCGCATACCTAAATGCTTCAGATTAACAATGCATTTTTTTATGTCATTTCATAGAACTGGACAAAGGGTGTTGAATATGAAACTGCCAGGCAGGAGAAAAAGAGGTAGAGCAGATTTATGAATGTAATGAAGGAGGACATGTCAGTGTTGGCATTACAGGAGCGGATGCAGGGGATGGGGTGAGAAGGATGAAGATGAGCTGCTGTGGCTTCCTCTAAAGGAAGCAGCTAAAATAAGATGGAGAAGTTACAGTTGAAAATTCTTTATCCTACTGCAGCCCAGTTTGTCAGGGTGTTTAGATTATTTTATCACTGACAGGAGGAGCTCATACCTCTGAATCTGTGGCCTGTTTCCTGCACTCCACAGCTCAGAGCAGGATGTTTAATAGGAAATAGAGGCAACAGCAAGGTCATATCCTGAGAACCAGCTTAGCTGCATGCAAGGACATTGGACATAGAGAGGACACACTTAAATGCAACTGACCCAAGGAAAAGAGAAACAGCCTTACCTAGAGGCATTATATTTTAGGTTGTCTCTATCTGTATGTATATATGTCTCATTCTTATTAATGCAATTATTTTCAGCAACACAGATTTACCCTTAAACTCATGTGTCTGTGAAGGTTCTCAGTCATCCAGGTCATCGTAGTCTAAGGAGCTTGGAAAGAAAA